TAAGGATTCGAAAATGGTTGTTTCTCAATTCGGCACCTGCACAATGAACATCTATTTCTGTAGGGGGCACGGAGGAACTTGGAAGTAAAATAGATTGCGACACGGTTGATGCGTCTTGGGTTTACACCGGTCCCCCTCCTCCTCCTCCTCCTCCTCCTCCACCAACTTCTCCTCCGATCCTCCTCCCTTTCCACCCCCTGTGGGACCTCTCGGAGGATGTTCCTTATCCTGCTGGACAGGGCGTCGGATCGTTGCTCGAGGTGCTCCTCGATGGCGCAAGCCGCATCGGAGTTCAGCTCGCCGAAAGAGCCTAGGGGGGTCCCGGGCCCACCCTCCTTGTCCTCGTCCTCCTCGCTCCTCCTGCCCGCGCCCGTTCTCGGGGTGGAGAAATTGCGACGTGAGGTTGTCTGCAACGTTCGGGCTTGTCGGGGATGGACAGACCTCCCTTCAGTAAAACGTGGTTTAGTGAAAACGACCTCGGGCCCAAACCTGGCGGGCGCAAGCCTGGAAAATAACGGCCGCGGCGCCCTCTCGAGAACCGAAAACGGACAATTCACTAATCGACGTGTCACTGTTAGGAGGTCTGTCCACCCCTGAACTTGGGTGGCCCTCACAAGGACCTGTGACCGAAAAAAAGGATTCGGGACGAAAACCAGTCCCGGGGAAGGACTCTAGACCTCTGGGGGTCCACGCTGTGGACAACCTCGCGACGTCGGAGGTCCGGATCGCACTCTCGCTGCCTCCCGCTCCTTCCATCCTCTTCGCCTCGCCTCGCCTCGCCTCGCCTCGCCTCGCTTCTCCTCCTCCTCCTCCTCCTCCTCCTCCTCCTCCTGCTCCGTCCTTCCTCTCCCGCCTCCTCCTCCTGCTCATCGTTCCTCCTCGTCTCTCCCCGTTCCTCCCCGCCCTACCTCCATTTCCTCCACTCGTCCTCGCCCTCCCTAGTCGCTCCGCATCGCAGACCTCCCTCCCTCACCCATCCCTCCTGAGATCCTGGCGCCGCATTTTTCTGACAACGGGCGGCGTTGCCTTGTTTCGTGCCTCAGAACGCCTGGCAGATGCCGCAGAAAGATGGGGTCGAGGCTCAAACCGAGCGTTTCTACCCCTATACACGCACGCACGCATACACACTCACAACACAACATAACACACCACAGCACAATTTCACACAACACAACACAACACAACACAACACAACACAACACAACACAACACAACACAACACAACACAACACAACACAACACAACACAACACAACAAAACACAGCACAGCACAGCACAGCACAGCACAGCACAGCAACAACAACAACAACAACGACATCAACAACAACACACCACAACACAACATAGCATAACACACGACGACCTACCACAACCACCACATCACCAAACCACAACCAACACACAAAGCACACAGCACACAGCACACAACACACGGCACACGGCGCATAACACACACACACACACACACACACACACACACACACGCACACACACAACACACACACACGCGCATACACATGTATAGGTATGCACGCATATATATATATATATATATATATATATATATATACAAACATACATATATACATATACATGTGTGTGGATCCGCTACAGTGCCGCCGGGCACGGAGCGGGCGTGTCCTCTGGCCCTCCCACTGCCCTCCGAAGCCTCCGTCCTCGCCGCCGGGGAGCTGCTTGAGGGGTTCGGAGCCCCTCGAGGCCCGACTCCCTGCGGGCGCCGCGCGTGACCCTGCGCTCCCCCGAGCGTTGGCGCAGGAGTTCTTGGGGCCCCCTCCTCCTCCTCCTCCTCCTCCTCCTCCTCCTTCTCCTCCTCCTCCGCTTCCTCCTCCTCTTCCTTCCTCCTCCTCCTCCTCTCAGAAAGAACGCCCCAAGGCGGGCCACGAGGGCCCCAAGGAACCCCAGGACGGTCCAAAGAGGGCCTCGGGTCGCCGAGCGAGCGCCCCAGGATTTGCTCGAGGTGGCCCCCAGGCGGCCCGGGAGGCACCCGAGACGGCACCGCAAGGAGGGCAAAAGAGGGAGCACGAACCAAAAATCCGAGCCTTCCGTCCCAAGAGGTCCCCAGGAGGCCTCAAAAGGCGCCGAGGAAACCCCAAGAAGCCCCCAAGATGCCCCCAAGAGGCCCCAAGAGGCCCCCAAGAAGCCCCCCGAAGGCCCCAACAGGCCCACTAACGGTCTCTTTCTCTCTCTCTCTCTCTCTCTCTCTCTCTCTCCCTCTCCGGAGTCAGAAGTCTTGGCGATAAAAACATGTTACGGCACTGCTCTCTTTGGTGAGCCTTGTGAAGACCTTGCTACGTCACCGTAGTGTTGTGCGGCTGGAAAACGAAAACCGCTGATCAACCCAACGTTAATCAGACATGTCAGCCTCATGGGGAACTCTTCGGGCCCATTTGGAGTACATCTCGGCACGCTTGGCGTGACCCCCTGCACACTTGGAGTAACTCCTCGCACACTTGTGGCTCTCTTGGGCCGTCGTCGGAATCTTTGGCCGTCCAACGGCTTTCCTGAGACACTCGGAGAACCCTATTGGTGGCCTCTTGGGGCCCTCCTCGGCACGCTCTTGGGGCTCTTCCTCACATACAAAAAAAAGGAACGGGAGCGGCGGGGGAATTCCTCCTCCCTTTGCCTAGCCACGAGGTGGCCTCCGACGGATGTCCGTCAAGAGCCTCCGCCGGGGATGGGGAGGGACGGCAGGGGGCCAGGGGGACAGGGGGGGGATGGGGAAGACAGGAAGCCTTCCTCCTCCTGCTCCGCCTCCTTTTCCTCCTCCTTTTTCTTCTTCTCTCCCTCCTCCTCCCAATTCCTCCTCCTCCTCCTCGTCCTCCTCCTCCTCCTCCTCTTCCTCCTCCTCCTCCTCCATTCCTTGTCCTGACAGATCACCCCTCCTTGCCGCGCCCCGAGGCCGGTCGAAAGGGTGGGCCGGGCGTTCCCCCTGAGACTTTGTCACAATTTACGACCCTGAAACATGTGACAGCTTCGAAAATGGAGGGCGAGCCGTTTTCAAAATGTAGCTCTCGCCTTAGCGCCGCGCGCATTCTCTCAAACAAATTGCAAGCATTTCCCAGATTTGGGGCGGGCCGTTTTCAAAATTTGCCCTCGCCTTTAGCGCCCGGAACATGCGTTTCACTTACTCCGGCGGCAGGACCCCGCATGATAAGCTATTTCGATTGCCCTTCGTTTTCTCTTCTTCGCCCTGGCCGAAGCCCCCCGTCTCGCCTTCTGTTGCGCGTCCTCCTCATCATCCTTGTCTTCCTCGTCCTCCGTCTCCTCCTCCTGCTCGCCCCCCTTGTTCAATTTCTCGTGTTCTTTCCATCCTTTTCGATGTTTTCCTCCTCCTCCTCCTCCTTCTCCTCCTCCTCCTCCTGCTCCTTCCCCCCCCTCGTCTCCATCCCGCCTGTTCTCTTCATGCACCTCTCCTTCCTCCCAGCAGGGGGGCACATACCGATTTTCCTCGGCGCCCTCGCCGCCGCGCCCTGCAAGGGCGCGTTCTCCGATGGCAAAATCGCGAAACCGTCGGGGCCGAAAAGTGACGACACTTCCAAGTTTCCGATGACCCGCTCGGATTGCCAACATGAAATGCAGGCATCATAAGGAGGGGGCTCTCGCTTGAGACTTTCTCGCAATTCAAACACAAACGAAGCTCCCGCTCGAGACTTCCTCCATTCTCAGTTCACAGGAACCGACCCGTGATGACAACTACGGGATGCGATGACCGCTTGGATTACCAACGTGATGTGCGGACCCCATAGGGCGGAGGCTCCCGCTCAAGACTTCCCTGCGATCCGCTCACACACAAAGCTCCCTCTTGGTCGATAATCACGATGGGATGGTGATAGTGATGAATGTGTGGTGGTAGTATTGGTGAGTTGGTGGTAGCGGCGCTGATGATGAGGTTTGCGAATATGATGATGATGACGAAGGTGTTGATGATTGAGTGTGTGCGCGTCCCGATGATTATGAATGAGAATGTGTGTGTGCTGACGGTGGCGATGATGATTATGCGTAAGTGTGTGGGGAGGAGGGGAGAGTAGGAGGAGGACTGCGCGGAGGTGTGCAGACAACACAAGAACCGCCCCTTAGGATGCGGGGCACAAATTGCAAGAGCTTCGCGGATTGAGGGCGGGAAGATTTCAAACCGTGGCTATTGTCTCAGCGCCGCGTACATTCGTTCTTAAACAATTGGAAGAGCTTCGGGTTACTTTCAAACTGTGACCTTCGCCATAGCGCCACGCAAATTCGTTTGAAAGGTGTGTAATGTTTCACGGGTTGAGGGCGTGCGGTTATTAACATGTGGTTTTCGCCTTAGCGCCGCGCATATTGGTTTGACATATATGCAAATATTTCACGGATTGGCTCTCGCCTCAGCGCCGCGCACATTGGTTTCAAACATCCGCAAGTGTTTCACACATTGAGGGCGGTTCCTGTTCAAATGTGGCTCTTGCCTTAGCGCCGCGCACACTCGTCTTGAACATTCGGAAAAGTCCTACTGCTCCTCATCGTTACCGCAACAGAAATCGTGCTTCTGGACAGATCCAAGACTGTCAGGGCGCAACAGTTTCGCGGATTCGCGGTGTTGAAAATCCGGGAGAGGCGTTCTGGCGCGATTCAGGATCGCCAAGACGTGCCAATCAGGTCAACTCGTGGCGTTGCCGTATTGAGAATTCGCCGGCCCAACGGGCCAAGGGCGTGCTAAGATCTCCGGTAACTGGTTAACAATATACTACTTCGCGCGAGCGGGGCCGCCCCTGGGGGTCCCCGGACGAAAAGTACCCTGGGAGACCCCCAAGAGCCCCCTGGGACACTCGGATCAGAGATGCCAGACCGGGCAATTTTTCGACACCCCTCACAAGTCGTGGCCTCCGAGGGGAAGGGCGCAATCGACTACCCCTCCTCCTGACCCAAGAGGTCCCCAAGAGCCCCCCAAGAGGCTGCAGGGGCCCCCAAGACGCCGCCAAGGAGCCCCAAGAGACTCCCAAGAGGTCCCCAAGAGGCCCCCAAGAGGCCCTAAAGAGGGCTCCAGGGCCGGCGGAATGAGCGAAGCGATTAAATAAATGTTGGGGACGCCTCCAGGTGTTCACACGGTGTTCCCCCAACGGAGCAACTCTCCCTCTGTAGAGAAATGAACCCTTGAGGGGGCCTCTGAAGAGGGAGTTCGGAGGGAGGGTGCCTTCCAACATCGTTGATGAATCCTGGGTTTATACTGGTCCTCCTCCTCCTCCTCCTCCTCCTCCTCCTCCTCCACCTCCTCTTCCTCCTCCTCAAAGAACCCCCTTTCTTTGCTCGAGCCCTTTCAGGGTGGCTCCAAGAGGGCTTCTGAGGCCCCCAAGACAGCTCCTCCTCCTTCTTCTCCTCCTTCTTCTCCTCCTTCTCCTCCTCCTGCTCCTCTTGCTCCTCCTCCCTCCTCCTCCCTCCTCCTCCTCCTCCTCCTCCTCATCCTCCTCCTCCTCCTCCTCCCCCTCTCCTCCTCCCCTCCTCCTCCTCCTCCTCCTCCTCCTCCTCTCCTCCTCCTCCTCCTCCTCCTCCTCCCTCCTCCTCCTCCTCCTCCTCCTCCTCCTCCTCCTCCTCCTCCTCCTCCTCCTCCTCCTCCTCCTCCTCCTCCTCTCCTCCTCCTCCTCCTCCTCCTCCTCCTCCTCCTCCTCTTCCTCCTCCCCGCGGTGTACTGTCGGGAACTTTTGGACAGCGTGTCGCGGCGGCGGCCCTTTGTTGACATGCTACGCCTTGCAAGCGGATCGCGTGTCGCTCCGCTCCGCGGGGCGGGAGGCTGGGGAAGACTGGTGACGTTCACGCTCGGGGACCAGGCCGTGGATTGCGTGTTGCGCCGCAGCGTGGTGGGCCAGAACTGGCGGCGCGACGCGATGAGCCCAAGTTCCTGACCGTAGGAGGAGGGGGAAAGTGGATGAGGAGGGGGAGGAACCAATTCCGAAGAGGCCCTGCAAGAAAGCGGCGTCCACGTTTGCGCCAATCCACATCATCATCATGTCGCCGTCCTCCAACAGGAAGACCCCGTCCTGAGTCATGCTCTCGCTAGTGAGGTTCATCATCTCCGGGAGCGTGCAGTGGCCATTCTCATCGAGCGTGGCGCAACTATCGGGGGCATTGTGCAGCGCCATCATCCGCGGATAGTAGTACGCCGCAAGCTGGGAGACGCACAACGTCTCCAATCGCATCCAAATGTAGACGCGCCTGTCAAAAGATATGTCGTTTGTCGGCTTGAAGGCCTCCGTGAATGAGCCGAGGTACGAGTAGATGGGAGGACACGGATGATTTGGATGAGGAGGAGGATGAGGAGGTAGAGGAGGAGCAGAGAGAGATGAGGGGGGGAGGCCTCCGACTTCAGCATTCCCATGATGTACAATGGCAAGAACTGGAGCGCCTCCGAAGTGGGGCACACCGAGCCAGCCTGAATGACCTGCTGGCACAGCATTTGCAACTTGTTGCGTCCCTCGGCGAGGTTGACCGCCAACGAGTGCTCCAGCGCCTGGTGCGACAGCATGGTGATCATGGCCTGCACGTCAATGGAGCCGTAGATGTCAGTATACGTCGGCGTGGTGAGCGCGGCCCAGGTGTTCACGCGTATGCGGCGCTCGCCTAGAGGAAGAACAACTACAGGAACCTAAACTTTCGGAGCTCCGCACTGGACCCCCCTGGCGGCGCCTCTGGGAGGGGGTCCAGCGCCGATCCAAGATGAAGGGGCCCAGGGACACACACACACACATAAATACACACAAATACCAGGATTCCCCCTATTGTCCCATATGTTCTGGGTTTCTGTCTTGCCCCCCACTTCCCATATTATCCCATGTCTTCGGGGAATCTACGATTAATTGTGTCTGTGGTTTTCTTCCCCTCCTGACAAGAGGTGCGCGCGGAGCGCTGAAACTTCTTGCTTACGCCATGTATGTTTTCTCGGTCGCCGTTGGAGTTGGTGTAGAGCAGCGCGCTCTGGAGGCAGCAGACGGGCTCGGGCGTCTGCTCCGCATCGACGTCGATGGACACTGCGAACGTCTGGTCCGCGTGGCAGTTGGGAACGACCAGCAGGTCCTGGCCTGAGGGGCAACGTGAGGAAGGCACCAGCTCAGAGGGGGGAAACACCGAGCGGCTTTCGAGCGGACTTTGGTCCGGGGGGGACTCGACGGTTCGAGTCCCGAGGTGTTCGAACGCTCTCGCTGGTTCCAGGACGTTCTCCAGCCTCGGGACGCCTTCCAGCTGCTGCGCCTCGCCGAGAGCGTTCCAGGTGTGCCTGATTCGTTCCGAACGGCCGCTGGATGGACGAGGTGTGACACGAAACCACCAGGGGACCTGCTCAGGGGAGAACCATCGGGCTGGAACCGGCGATGCATAGCAGATAGATCCGCGATAAGCCCCCGATATCGAGTCCGCACGTTCCTGAGCGAGGAATGGGCTATCAGGCCCCTATCGGTGATCGATGGGCGATTGGGGTCAGTGCGTTACTTTTCCCCCCTACGGTTGCCCCTGATGGCCTCGGATAAAGAGATGCCCGTAAAACTTGGTGATCTTCCAGCCGCGGCTGACGCGGATCCGCATGACCGCCTCCCAGCCCATGTAGCGCGTGAGCACGTGATACAGCTCCTTTCTCAACTTCACGCCCGACGTCGCCAGCTGGAAGCCGGGGTAGTAGCGGACGTCTCCGCCGGTGAACTTCGCGAGGGGCGCGATGGAGGCGAGGTCGACGTAAGCCTGCGGCGCCAGGAACAGCTCCACAGACACCTGTCGGCGGAGCGCCAAAGGGGGGAAGCAGAAGGGAGCGAACCTTCTCCGAAACCACAGAAGGCCTCTCAGAATGCCAACGGGCTTATACCGCGTTCTGAGACAAAGCCTGCCCCCCTCTCAGATCCCCTCACATCTCCTGCATCCGGAGGCCGTTTGGGACCACCTGGGCACCCCCAGACGCCCTTCGGCGAGGCGGAGCGGCTGGAGCGCACCCCGAAGCTGGCAAATGGTCGAAGCCGACGAGGATGCCCGAAAACCCCGAGCCTCGAACCTTCAACTCCCAAGCGATTCCCCCTCGGCGCGCCGCCGAGGAACGCTGGAACGCACCCCGAAGCTGGACAATGGTCGAAGCCGACGAGGCTGCCCGAAAACCCCGAGCCTCGAACCTTCCACTCCCAAGCGATTCCCCCTCGGCGCACCGCCGAGGAACGCTGGAACGCACCCCGAAGCTGGACAATCGTCGAAGCAGGCGAGGATGCCCGAAAACCCCGAGCCTCAAACCTTCAACTCCCGAGCGATTCCCCCTCGGCGCGCCGCCCTAAGCTGGACAATGGTCGAAACTGGCGAGGATGCCCGAAGACCCCGAGCCTCGAACCTTCAAAACTCCCAAACGTTCCAGCTCGGCGCGCCGCCCGAAGCTGGACAATGGTCGAAGCCGACGAGGATGCCCGAAGACCCCGAGCCTCGAACCTTCAAAACTCCCAAGCCTTCCCCCTCGGCGCGCCGCCCGAAGCTGGACAATGGTCGAAACCGGCGAGGATGCCCGAAGACCCCGAGCCTCGAACCTTCAAGACTCCCAAGCGATCCCCCCTCGGCGCGCCGCCGACCGCCTGTGCCCTCGTCAGCTCGGTGGACAGGTCCTTGTAGCCGTCGCTGACGGGCCGCAGGAGCTCCACCTCCTGCGCGGCGGGTCTGCACGCAAAAGTTCCGCCCCGCAAGAATAATGTCGGGCCTGTCCCCCTAGAGGGGTATTTTCGACGAAAAATAAAAAGTACCCCAACAATAATCCAAAAATGCTGCAAAAATAGTCTGGGGACTATTTCTTGAATAGTTTTTGACCTTTTCGGCATATTTTTGGGGTATTCTTATTTTTTCGTAGAAAATCCCCATGTAGGGGGACACGCCCGATATAACACAAGAAGCGGGCTCGACCGCCCCCCCCCCGTGACCACCAACTTCGGGAAGCTGCCGGCCCCGGTCAGTCCAGACCCAGGCCGGTCAGGCTATTCGGTGGTGGACAACATCGGTTTCGGTCCGTCGTGTTTCGACGATCCTCCGAGTGTGTGTGTGTGTGTGTGTCAGCGCCAGCGTGTGCCTACCCCGTGAGGCCCCTCAACACAACGCAGGCGATGCAATGATCTACCTCTGCAGGGCTGAACGGGGTCAGCACACATTGGGCCAACGCACGTTGCGAGGATCATTCGGCAGTGGACAAACCTCCCTTTAATTGACCTCCCCTTAGTGAAAACGGCCTGGGACCGAAACCGACGGACCTGGACCCGCAAAAAGGACCGCCGCGACGCCCTCTCGCGAACCGAAAACGGCCAAGTCCTCAATCGACGTGTCAGGGTAGGAGGTCTGTCCATCCCCGAGCTGTGCAAGGTCTTGCAAGATCCTGCACGATTCTGTGGGAGCCGGCACCCGAGCCCGGGTCAGTGCGCCCCTGGCTTGGCAGGGCCCTGCGAGCTTCCGCGCTCTGGCCGACCCCTGCTCGAATGGACCCCCGTGTCCAGACCCTCGACGTCATGAGCTCCTCGTGGCGAGGACCCCCAGCCGCTTCAACCCATTCCCCAGGACTGCTTTTTTCATCCCGAGTCGTTTTCTGACGGCCCCCCCGAGGCCCGGCCAGGGCCCCCAAACGCCGTTCGCACCGAAGACGCACAACACTTCTCAGAATGCTCGAGGGCTTCTGGGAAGCCCCGCCGCCTTCTAAGAGGGCCTCCTCCTTCTCACTTCCCCCCCTCGCTCGCCGCCGAAGTAAAGCGTGGCTGAGGTGACTGCGACAGAGAACAAAAAGAACAAGGTTGAAGGCGATTGCAAGCGGCGGCACGGGGTCTGCAGACTGACACCGGGTGGTTCTGTGAATCCGCTGTAGTGAGTCGGCCTGTACAGTAGCGCACACATGAGGTGGGAGAATGAATGGAACAAGGGCAGGCTGGAGTGCCCAGACCCCTGACATCATGATTTTTCTAGAACGCCCACCCCCAAAGGTCCCGACCCATTCCCCGGGACCAGTGTTTCATCCCGAGTCGCACTTTGACGGTGCCGAGGGCCGCCACAAGGCTCCCAAAGACCGAACGTGGCGCAACACCTCCCGTCCTGATTTTTTCAGGACCCATAATGGTCTGGGCGTATCGCACCCCCACTGCTCGATGCCTGGTCCCTGCTCTTCTGCGCGCTGCCGGTCCTTCTCGGTCCCCAGCAGCCTCGGGTTGTCGCGCGTGGACTTGAGCGGCAGCTGCCCCACGCTGGGGATGCAAGCGCCGAAGACCTGCTGGGGGGCCCCGGGTACCCGCGATCAACGCGCATTGGCCTTTGACTGGGACGGATTGGATGCTGGCATCCTGCCTGCTGTGTGCAGGCCCAACAGACGCTATGATGGCCACCCCGCCGCGATTGCGCACTGGCTTTCGACACGGGTGGTGGGGGCCGACACTCTTCCCGATGTGTACTGCCACGTTCGCAGGCGCACCTGGCACATTCTGCGCGTGCCCCGAACGTGGTGCACCTGGCGCGGCTGGAGCATGCGGAAAACATGGCGCACGAGGATCACGTGGCGCATCTGGCGCACCAGGCGTGCCCGGCACGCTTGCGCCACAGAGGTGCCTGGCGCACCTGGCGCGCGTGGCGCGCTTGGCACACCTCGCCCCAGCATTGCGCACATTGTGTCTGATGTGGTTCCCACTAGCTGCCCATCCAAAGACGACCGCCGAACACGCTGCGGGGTGCTACTTTTGTGTTGGGAGGGCGGGTGGGAGTGAGCAAGACGGCTTGCGGGCGGAGGGGGTGTCTTAACCCATCTCCGTGCCCCCTCCCCCTGGACCTGGACGGGGCGGCGGTTCGCGGGTAGTTGGAGCGTCCAAGATGGTCTCGGCGAGGACGGCAAAGCTGCTGCTCTTTATCGTGCCACGGCTTTGGCCACATCTTCGCCTCCCGGAGAGGGGGGGGCGCTGATACTCGGAACCTCCCCCCCCTTGGATCCATCACCCCCGAGATGGCCCCCAAGATCCAGCGCCCTTCTTTGATCCATCGCCCCTCTTTGATCCATCACCTCTTTGATCCATCGCCCTTGCTTGATCCATCACCTCCCAAATGGCCCCACGATGGCCCCCCCCGAGGGCCCCGGAGACGACAGCGAGTGCCCCGCCGCAGCGCGGCGTGCCGGAGCTGCGGAGGGGCGACGCGCGCCCCGGCCAGTGCTGGACGGCGTCGCGGAGCGTCTGCCCGCTGCCAGGGAAGCCAGCCCCACAGGAGCGGCGAGAGCGGGCCAACCGCCGCGGAGGAGTGGCGGTGGACAGCGGAGGCGCGGGCGAGGAGGAGACGAGGAGAAGGAGGAGGAGGAGGAGGAGAAGGAGGAGGAGGAGGAGGAAGCCAGCCCCACAGGCTTTTGGACACCCGACATGGGTACCGAAACAATGGGCACGATGCCCAACAACCAATGTTGTCCCAGGCCAGCAGCGGCCGCTGTTGGGCGGGCGGCCCTCTGTCTCGAATGGACACAGGCCGCAGCGGCGTGGACAGCGAATCCTGTCCAGAATGAACAGGAACTGCTGTTGGGCATTGTACCCATTCTTTCCGTACCCATGTCGGGCGTCCAAAGAGGGCCGGGAAAGGAAACGGAAAAAAGCAGGAGGAGGAGGAGGAGGAGGAGGAGGAGGAGGAGGAGGAAAAGAGGAGGAGGAGGAGGAGGAGGAGGAGGAGGAGGAGGAGGAGGAGGAGGAGGAGGAGGAGGAGGAGGAGGAGGAGGAGGAGGAGGAGGAGGAGGAGCCCCACAGGAGCGGCGAGAGCGGGCCCTGCGGACCGGCGGGGCGCGGCGGCCCGAGGGAGCGCCACGGGCGAGGCCCCCGAGAGAGATCCCCTGGGAGGCCCAGGAGAGGCGCCCCCAGAGGCACCCAGGACGCCCCATGGGGGGCCCCTGGGACTGCCCAGAGCTCGCTGCTGGCCCTCCTCCTCCTCCTCCTCCTCCTCCTCCTCCTCCTCCTCCTCCTCCTCCCTCCTGCCCCTCCCCCTCTCCCTCCTCCTCCTCCTCCTCCTCCTCCTCCTCCTCCTCCTCCTCCTCGTCCTCCTCCCCCGCTTCCTCCTCATGCTCCGTCTCCTTCTTTGCGTGTGGGGAGGGCGCGCGTGTATCGTACGCCAGGCAAGTGGCGTGTATGGTTCGATGTGACGCATGTAATGCTATTCGAGTGCCAATACCCATGCGACCACCACTCTGGTGATACCGAGGTTGGGGGGTGGGGGAGAAAGAACCAACTGCTAGCACATACGATGGGTGTGGTGATGATGGCGATGCTGGTGACGCGCCCTCGAGTTAGCGACGACGCGTGATCACGATGTTGCGCTGCGATGTACTATCACCATCGTCCCCTGCGTTCGATCTCACTCGATCGATCCCACTATCGACGTCACAGGATCGATCCCACTCGATCAGTATCACTATAGATCTCACTCTAGATCTCGCTTTCGATCGTACAACCGATCTCACCATCGATATCATTCTCGATGTCTCGATCGATCCCACCGTCGATCTCACCATCGACATCACAACCAATGTCACAATCAACCTCACGGTCGATCTCACTTTTGGAATCACGATCCATCCCATTCTAGCGATCTCATTAATGACTTCATCGGGAGCGGCCACGATGGGGGTGTCCAAGAGGGGGGGGTGCAAATCATGACCGGCGGCATGTGCGCGGCCCAGCGGGGGGGCCAGGGACGTAATGAAATAAGAAGAGGTGCCATGAAATCTGGGGAAATATCATGGCCCCCGCCATGATATCCACCCCCCCCTAGTCGTCACCCCCCTCTTTTCCACCCCCGACGTTCGAGCGATCTCATCATCGACTTCACTATCGACTTCACCATCGGCACCAAGGCGGGACACCCCCGGCCACCGCCCGCCCACGGCCGAGGGAGCACCGACGGAACACCCACGGGAAGCCCACGGGACACCAGCAGGGCACCACAGCGGGACACCCCAGGCTACCGCGCGCCCACTGTGTGAAGAAGGGCGGTCCACTGCATCGGAATCGCCCCAGCCACGGAGTGGTCCGTCCTCTCGCGCGCCCACGCGGCTCTGCCTCGCCGGCACGCACGACACGAACACGAAACCGAGTCCGATTTCGCGGGGGGGGCTCTCCGTTCCACTGCGATCTCAGCCCTCAACCTACGATGGATGAATCCACAACAAGTGATTTATGTAGCATATGCCGGTCACGTATACACTGTTCGTGCTATATGTGATGTCAGAGGTATGTGTGCTATGACTACGCGTTCGCATGGAGGAGTATCTAAACGACCACTCTTCGGGTGATAAGGAAGTTGTGGGGGGGAGAGGGGGGGGGAACCAACATCTGACTCAATCGATCTCACTATCGATCTCACTCAACGGGACACCCGGGGACACCACGGAACACCATGGGACACCACGGGACACTTGTCGATCTCACTCTCAATCTCACCATCGATCTCACTCCACGAGACACCACGGGACACCACGGGCCACCACGGGACACCACGGGACACCGCGGGACACCTCTCGATCACACCATCGGTATCACTATCGGTCTCACTATCGATCCCACTCAACGGGACACCATGGGACACCACGGGACACCACGGAACACCTCGGGACACCACATCGATCTCACTATCAATCTCACTATCGATCTTACTATCGATCTCACCCAACCGGGCACCACGGGACACCACGGGACACCTGTCAATCTCACTATCGATCTCACTTTTTGGGACACCACGGGACATCTCGGGGCCCCACATCGATCTCAGTATCGATCTCAGGATCGATCTCACTCAGGGGGACACCACGGGACACCACAGGACACCACGGGCGACCTGACGATCCCTCTATCGATCTCACTATTTGGGACACCACGGGACACCTCGGGGCACCACATCGATCTCAGTATCGATCTCAATATCGATTTCACTCAACGGGACACCACGGGACATTACGGGACACCACGGAACACCGCCAGACGGACGGACGGACGGGCGGGCGGGGGATAATAACTTGTCTTGACTTCGCCCTAGCAACAGCTGACACCACAGGACGCCACGGGACACCGCGGGCCACCGCCGGACGGGCGGGAGGGGGAGAATCATCTGTCTTGACGTCGCCCCTAGCAGCAGCGGGTCCATTCCTCTCGCGCGCCCACGCACCTTCGCCTCGCCCGCACGCACGGCACGAGCGAAACGAACCGATGCCCCGGTTGGGGGTCTCCGTTCCACTGCGACCCCCCAAACTCCGATATCAACCATGATAGAGCACGCGCGAGGCTGCGGGTTGCTGGTGGTACGAACAAGCACGAGTAACAGCTGCTACTACTACTACTACTACTACTACTCCTCCTCCTCCTCCTCCTGCTCCTCCTCCTCCTCCTCCTCCTCCTCCTCCTCCTCCTCCTCCTCCTACTACTACTACTACTACTACTACTACTACTACTACTGCTGCTGCTGCTGCTACTACTACTACTACTACTACTGCTTCTCCTCCTCCTCCTCCTCCAAGTGAACCATCGTGTGCAAAAGCAACAGGATGCAACATACAACCACGATGCTACTGGCTCGCAGCGGGATCCCAGCGGAACTGCAGTCATATGTGGGGTACGAAGGACGAACACGCGAGCAACGAAAAACGGGGCTACGATTTGAAAGTACGACCAGGTTCGAGAAAATGAAAGCAGCAGGGAGTAGCAGCAAACAAGAAGCGTGATACAGGGAACGGATGGCGGGAGGACAGGGTGTGAGGGGACAGGTGGTAAGGGGACAGGGCGTGAGGCAAGCTAGGTTCGCACGCGCCATACCTGACACCCAGAATCCTCCCGCTAATCCCTCGCCATGGTGCTGAGATGTTCCTCTATCAACCAACGGGTGCCATAGCGGACCTGGACCCCTCAAGATGACGCTTTGATGCTATGTGCAATCAGAAAGGGGGAGCTGTGTACATTCGAGGAGAAGGAGGTCGCGGATGAGCAGGATGAGCAGGAGGAGTACAGTCGGACCTGGGCCAGAAGAAAAACATCCTCCAAGAATCTGATACCCTCCGCGGGCCAAAGCGAACAAAACATGGAGGGCTACCCTCCCCAGGATGCACACCTGCACCCAACAAGCACGAAGAACCCGAGGGCACCTTCCCCGAACCGACCTCCATTGTATACCTCGGTCCGACTGCAGGCGGAAGGAGGAGGATGATAGTGAACAGCAGCAACAGGCTCCGGGAGGCGAGGGGTGGATATGGCCAGAAGCGCTGCACGTGGCGGTCGCAGGGCAAGGTGGAGGACGGCAGACGAGGAGCGAGGAGAGGGTGTCGAAGGCGAGCAGGGGCACGAGAACAACAGAGGGAACAGGAAACGCTCTGCCCCAGGATCCTGGCCTTGGGTCGGGCATGTCCCCCTACATGCGGGTTGTGAACGAAAAGTTGTGAATCGTCATACAATCCCCCCAAATAGTCAAAACACCTGAAAAATCGTCCCCAGGCTTTTCCTTCTGTAGAGGGACAGGCCCGACTCCATCCTGGTGCTGCATCTTTGTGTAAAAGGGCCATTTTGCCTCGTTTCGGCCCCAAGGCTGGGGGCCCCAGGGCCCTCGAGGATCCGTTCACTTCGAAGATGCAGCAACACTTTGGGGCACAGGGCTCCGGACGAGTCTCGGAATGCTGTGTTCTGCACGTGACGTCGGCTCTCCGGGTCGTGACGGGCTGCGAATGGCTGGGACAGGCGAGGTACCGAAAGCCGCGACGAGCAGCCAGCGAGGGAGACTCGGAGGGAGGGAGGGGAGGAGGAGGAGGAGGACATGGGCGCGAGGGAGCGGGTAGGATCAGCAGCCAGGAAGGATGGGGAGGTGTGTGAGGTAATACATGTAGGCGTTCTGCGCGTATACGTATACGTGTAGCTGCGGATGTGGCACCTTGTGTGTGCATGTGGTGGGTTCGCGGCGTCTTGCGATCCATCTCTATCCGCTGGCCCATCGTTTCCCTTCCCCCTCGCAGATCGCCCTTCTCGTCTTCTCCCCTGGGCCGTTCGGAACCCCGCGCAGCCGACGCCCAGCTCGCAACGGGAGCAGTTTCTGGCTCCAGGAGACCAGGAGCTTCCCGCCGATGTGCTTCATGGCGGCGTACGCCCCCTGCACCGCGGAGCCCATGCACGACTCGTTCACCCTCGTGTCCCGGAACATCTGCGGCAGGGCGTCGAGCAGAGCCAGTATCGACGACTCGCTCTCCTGCCGGACGGCACACTGCCCCTGCGTGACTGCTCGAAGACCCTCGTGGTCTTGTGCCCTCTGTCTGCGCCACACCGCAACGTAAGAGGAACCCGCGGCGGCTCACCGTCTGCTTTCAGAAGTCAGCTACAGTCCAGAAAAAAAAACATCCTTCGACACACACGAGGACCTCCGCTGGCCACAGCCCCCCAGACCTCGAGATCAGTCGAGGGTGCCCTCCCCCAGGATGCACAGGAACATCCCACAGGCACGGAACACATGCGGGCACCCTCCCCGAGCCGACCTCGATCTCGTGCCTCGGCCGGGCGGTGCTCCGTCGATGGGCCACACACTTCGCGCACCTCGCGCACGCAGCACAGCACCGGTGGCCCTCCGGCCCCGCAGCGCCGGGCAGGGGCCCCCGCCTGAGCGGCTTCCACGTGGCGGGGCCCTCGCAGAGCGGGCCCCTCGGCCTGCTCTTGCGGGCCCCAGCCTTCTCGCGTGCGGAGAGGCGTGAGGCCCCGCTGTGATCTGGCGTTCCAGACAAGCCGCGCCTCCGAATGCACACGACCTCCCAAGTGCGACAGCGACTCTGCACCTCCAACCTCAGGTCGAGCATGTCCCCCCTACGGGCGAATGGTGGACGAAAAACCGAGAATATGACCCCCAACATGTTACAACAATGCTGAACTATAGTTGTTTCTGTTTATAAAAAAAAACCTCCCCAGACTATTGTTTTCTACTATCTCTGGATCTTTCCCCTGTAGAGGGACGCGCCCGAGTCTTTCCCTCTTCCCCCCCTCCGCCTTCTGCTGCCGCCCCTCCCTCCCCTCTCCTACCTCGTCCACCCTCCCTGCTCCCTCCTCCCTGTGCGTCGTTCTCCCGACTCCAACCTATACCTGCCTATCTACCCACCTACCTGCCTCCTCCTCCTCCTGCTCCTGCTCCTCCTCCTGCCCCTCCTCCTCCTCCTCCTGCTCCTCCTCCTCCTCCTCCTCCTCCTCCTCCTGCTCCTCCTCCTCCTGCTCCTCCTCGATGTTCGGTGCGGGCGGCCTGTCTGTCACTTGAGGCCTCCTCCTCCTCCTCCTCCTCCTCCTCCTCCTCCTCCTCCTCCTCCTCCTCCTCCTGATCCCACTCCTGCTTCTCCCCCGGCTCCTCCTCCTCTTCCTCCCCCTCTTCTCCTCATCCTGCTCTTCTCCTCCTCTTGGCCCTCCTCCTCCTGACCTTCGCTCCTCTTCCTCCGTCCTCCTCGTCCTCCTGTTCCAACTCCTGCTCAATCCTCCTCCTCGTCCTCCTCGTCCTCCTCCTCCCCCTTCTCCTCCCGCTCCTTCTCCCTCATCCTCCCTCGTCCTCCCTCTCCCCCCCCTCCACAATTACACAATATGAATACTACTCTCCTCTTTCCCCTGACTCTGTCCGGACGATGTTCGGCCCCCCTCCGCGTACAATTTTTCCCAACCCTCCTTGGTTGGGTATTCGTTTTGAATAGAGCAGTGTGTTCTCCACTCCTTTCTTCCCGTCCCGCCTCCCTCTTGCCTCCTCCTGTCTTGCCTGCGGGGGGCTGCGATCTGTGAAACTGTCGCCACTTTCGAGGCCTGCTGGGGGGCCCAGCACAGTAACGCCACACGCAGATTCAACTTAGACCTCGCCATCCCTGGGGGGCTGCGATCTGTGAAACTGTCGCCAAGTTCGAAGCCTGCTGGGGGGCCCAGCACAGTGACGCCACACGCAGATTCAAATTAGACCTCGCCATCCCTGGGTGGCTGCGATCTGTGAAACTGTCGCCACTTTCGAGGCCTGCTGGGGGGCCCAGCACAGTGACGCCACGGGCGGATTCAAATTAGACCTCGCCATCCCTGGGGGGCTGCGATCTGTGAAACTGTCGCCACTTTCGAGGCCTGCTGGGGGGCCCAGCACAGTGCCACGGGCGGATTCAAATTAGACCTCGCCATCCCTGGGGGGCTGCGATCTGTGAAACTGTCGCCACTTTCGAGGCCTGCTGGGGGGCCCAGCACAGTGACGCCACGCGCGGATTCAAATTAGACCTCGCCATCCCTGGGGGGCTGCGATCTGTGAAACTGTCGCCACTTTCGAGGCCTGCTGGGGGGCCCAGCACAGTGACGCCACGGGCGGACCCAAATTAGACCTCGCCATCCCTGGGGGGCTGCGATCTGTGAAACTGTCGCCACTTTCGAGGCCTGCTGGGGGGCCCAGCACAGTGACGCCACACGCAGATTCAAATTAGACCTCGCCATCCCTGGGGGGCTGCGATCTGTGAAACTGTCGCCAAGTTCGAAGCCTGCTGGGGGGCCCAGCACAATGACGCCACACGCAGATTCAAATTAGACCTCGCCATCCCTGGGGGGCTGCGATCTGTGAAACTGTCGCCAGTTTCGAGGCCTGCTGGGGGGCCCAGCACAGTGACGCCACGGTGGATTCAAATTAGACCTCGCCATCCCTGGGGCGCTGCGATCTGCGAAACTGTCGCCACTTTCGAGGCCTGCTGGGGGGCCCAGCACAGTGACGGCACGGGCGGATCCAAACTAGACCTCGCCATCCCTGGGGGGTGTGATCTGTGAAACTGTCGCCGCTTTCGAAGCCTGCTGGGGGGCCCAGCACAGTGACGCCACGCGCGGACCCAAATTAGACCTCGCCATCCCTGGGGGGCTGCGATCTGTGAAACTGTCGCCACTTTCGAGGCCTGCTGGGGGGCCCAGCACAGTGACGCCACGGGCGGACCCAAATTAGACATCGCCAAGGGGGGAGCGATCTGTGAAACCGTCGCCACTTTCGAAGCCTGCTGGGGGGGCCCAGCACAGTGACGCCACGCGCGGACCCAAATTAGACCTCGCCATCCCTGGGGGGGCTGCGATATGAGATCCCCGCTTTCGAAGTGGCTACGGTTGCTCACGGATTGTAACTAATCAGCTTTATCTAGTCCTTGTCCTGTAGCCAATGTCCTGCAGTCTCCCGAATTCCGTCTGCAGACATATGTAACCCTCGCTCCGTCATCGACCCCCTTATAAAGTGTCCTCTACTATTTGCGCCCCGCGTTTGCGCAGGGGTTGGATACGCCGCCAGGGTATTTTTACACACTGGATCTGGGCGAATTGGTAGGAATCGTGCTCCCGCTGCAGCGCTGGCCTCATTTCCGCGCTTCTGCTCGTTCCGAATCGTGCTCCCGCTGCAGCGCTGGCCTCATTTCCATTGCCATGCCATGGCATGCAATACAATGATATGGTGTGTTCCGTTGTGCGATACCATGCCTTCAGCTGCAATGCTATGATATGCAGTACTTGACTACGCAATGCCACGCCATGCTATGTCATGCTACGCGTTGATCTTCAACGCCATGATATGTCATGTAATGCTATACCATGCAACGACATCCGACTGCGCGAATAGAGAGGAGATCTACGCCATGGCAAGTGATGGGAGGAAGGGGTAGGACGTCAGATAAGACGCTTGCGCACCTAGCTTGCCCTCCCCCTTCCCCCCCCCTCCATCTCCGCCTCCTGCTCCCCCTCCCCCTCCCCCTCGTGCTTCGCCTCCTCCTCCTCCTCCTTTTCCTCCTTCTCCTCCACCTCCTCCGCCTCCCCCGAAATTCTGGCGTCGCCTTTGTTCCACAACGGGCGATCTTGAGACTCGTTTGGGCCCCATGATCCTCACGGATCGATCCTCTCGAGAAGTTCCGCATGAAGATGGGGTCCAAGACTCGTTAAAGGCTTAACGACTTCTGCCGTCCTTCGACTCGCGCTGGAGCGGCCGCGAGTTGCTCCAGCTTTCCCTGGAGATCTCTGGATGTACCTGGACTTACCCGGATGCATCACGATTCACCTGGAGCTGCCTCGACGTATCTGCCATTGACCTGGCCTCCTCGGGCCCGATCCCCACAAGCCCATTGGCAACAAGTCGACGAGCCCTCGGGGAAGGGCCCCCCAGAGTCAGTCGGCGTCGAACCCGGCACACCGCATCAACTCGGGAGGTGCGCGGGCTCGGGCCGCAGCCCGCGCGAGGGCGGAGCCGAAGCGACTCGGCCGCGCCAGGCTGTGCACAGCAGCGGCACGCGAGCCTCGGCGGTGGACAGACCTCCCTATAGTGAACCTCCCCTTGGTGAAAACGGCCTGGGACCGAAACCCGACGGACCTGGACCCGCAAAAAGGACGGCCGCGACGCCCTCTCGCGAAGCGAAAGCGGCCAATGCGCTAATCGACGTGTCAGAGTGGGAGGTCTGTCCACCCCCGAAAGCCTCGGGCCGCATCGGGTTTTCAGACCACCCGTATCGAATCGGATCGAGCCTCACGTTGCTCCCATCGTGCTTGAGGACGACATCCCAGAGAGAAATCCGAGCACCCAGGAACATATCGAAACAGTGTGGAACGAGCATCGCCTCCCAGGGCCCGACACGTGAACGCCATTCGGTTTCGGCACTTTCTTGGTGCCCGACATTCTTCCGGGTGGTCCAGGATCAAGTAGGTTGGAACATCATAAATCGAACCTTCCAGAATAGATGTCGTATCGGGTGGATCGGATTGGACCCTGTAGTGTTGTTGTCCACTCGTGCCGTGCTCAATTCTTCTAGCGATCACGCGCGCTCTGAACTTATGTGCCTGCTGGTGCGCGCCATACGCTCGAAGCTGTTCACTCTGGAAAGGCAACTGTGACAATACCATCAACGTGAGTGCACAATGCGGCTGCGTGCCTGCATGCCGTCCAATCAAATGCGCGCGTCCTCCGTCCCTTGCTGATCGCATCTGGTTGGCCTCAAGCGGCGGACTCCAGAAACCCTAAGCCCCAAACAATGTCATCTCTTGGGAAATCGGTGCTTGCTTCCGCCTGCTTCCGCCAGCCTTCCGCCAGCGGAACCGCCCTCGTTTCACTTCCGCCGCCTTCCGCCGATCTTCCACGGCCTCCCGCCGAGGAAGAGATGGCAACTCCTTCGACCCTCGAAGGCGAGGCCCTTTCTGGAACGCCTCGGCCTCATGGCATCTGGTTGGGCTCACGTGCTGCTTTCGCAGCCCGCGCTCCTGGATCGGGACGAGGACGTCGTCGGGCAGGGGCACGAAGACGTCCTCCAGGTCCGCGACGACCAACATCTGCGGCTGGCTCAGGCTCGAGCTGAGGTTGTAGAAGTGGAGGGTCGGGTGCTGCTAGAAGTGCCCCTGGCCCGAGGTGCCCCCAAGGAGGCCCCCACGGCCACCAGCGCACCCCTCACGAGGCCCAGAGGGCCCCAGGGGCTCAAATTGGGTGAAAAGCTGGGGGCACCTTGGACCAGGGGCACATTTAGCAACCCCCGAGAGGGACGTGTCGAAAGTGATGATGCCCATCTGCGCCCTGCTGCCGCCGGGCATATTGCCCGACAGGATGGCCTCCTTGATGCTGCCCACCACGGAGTCGAGCATGCCGGTGACCACGGCGGTGTACGACACGTCGATGGCGAACACGAACACCGGCGGCTGGGGCGGCCTCACCATGTACTCTCCAGGGGCGATGTACTCGATGGCGCCTCTGCAGAGCTCGGGCCTCTTCGGGCGGAGAGGTCCACGCAGCGAATCGCCCTCGCCTCCTCCTCCTCCTCCTCCTCCTCCTTCTCTTCCTCCTCATCCTGACACGCGGAGTCGCTGAGACTCCTTTGTTCTCGCCGCGCGCACACACACACACACACACACACACACACACACACACACACACACACACACACACACACACACACACACACACACACACACACACACACACACACACACACACACACACACACACACACACACACACACACACACACACACACACACACACACACACACACACACACACACACACACACACATCAGATATCAGAGTAAGGGGGCCGAGCGGCCATTGGTGATTTGAAACGCCGCCAGCCTGCCCATGAGGTCTAAGGAGCCATCCACCGCTGGGGGGCGTCGGCGTATATATATATATATATATATATATAGATGGTCCTGGGTCTGCCCCCCCCCTCATGCTGATGCCATCGCCCCCCTCCCCCCCTCCCCCGCGCGATGAGGGCCGTCGGCGCATACATGGTCCAGGGACTGCCTCTTCCCCCCTCATGATGATGCCATCGGCCCACCCCCCCTCCGCGCGATGAGTGTGATGTGGCGCTGTGTGGGTGTGACGTGTGTGGCGTGGTACTTACTGTGCTGCTCCAGGAGAGCTCTGGAGGTCGTCGTCGTCGCCGCCGTCGTCGGAGGAGGGCTCCGGAGGTCGGCGGCGCCGCCGCCGCCGGCGCCGCTGCCGTCGTCGCCGTCGTCGTCGCCGTCGTCGCCGTCGTCGCCGCCGTCGTCGTCGCCGTCGTTTTCGTCGCCGTCGTCGTCGTCGCCGTCATCGTCGCCGTCGTCGTCGTCGTCGTCGTCGTCGCCTTCGTCCTCGTCGCCGTCGTCCTCGTCGCCGTCGCCGTCGCCGTCGTCGTCGCCGTCGCCGTCGTCGTCGTCGTCGCCGTCGTCGTCGTCGCCGTCGTCGTCGTCGCCGCCGTCGTGGCCGCCTTCGTCGTCGTCGTCGTCCTCGTCGTCACAGTTGCCGTCGCTGTCGTGGTCTTTGTCGTCGTCGTCGCCGTCGCCGCCGTCGTCGTCGTCCCCGTCGTTGTCGCCGCCGCCGCCGTCGTCGTTGTCGTCGTCGCCGTCGCCGTCGTCGGCTTTGTCGTCGTCGTCTTTGTCGTCGCCTCTGTTTTTGCCGTCTTTGTCTTTGTCGTCGTCGCCGCCGTCGTCGTCCCCCCCCCATCCCATTAGGGGGGGGGGAGCCCGAGGGACCCTGAGACCCATCCCATCTGGGGGGGGGCGTGGGCCCGGAGCCCAGGATCATGCATGCGGCACCGTGCCTCGATGGAGGCACGCGGGGGACTGTCCCAAGGCTCGTGCAGACCCGAGCGGTGCACTTGCCGTCGCTGGGGCGTCCATTGCCACTGCATTTGCAGGCTTCGCGCGCGTATTTGTCGCAAGATGGCACAACATGATCCTCGGTGCTCCACGCCGAGAAAAAAAACGCCCACGTCCGAGCGATGCCAATTACGGTGTTTGTGAATTTCTGAAGGGCCCAGGTTTCCCATGCGTTCTTGGGCGTTCTTGGCGACTCCGGGGGTTGTCCTGGGTCTCTCGGGGAGGGGCGAAGCTTCTCGCATACCCTCGCGCACGAACAGGCAGGGCTCTGCTCCCACTGTGGATCTCGAGATTTAGGTCGAACGCTGACTGATCGGCAGTGGTACAGCGGTTGCATACTGATACGATTTGTCCGAAGACAGCTCGAATAGAGTGAACCGATCTGAACTCGAGGATCGGACGCAAACCTTGCGTCCGCTTCAACAAGACAGCATCTGAACTCATGTGCTGCAGCCCAGGGGGGTCGGGCGAGTGCTACTGGGGTTAAGTCGGGCCTGTCCCCCTACAGGGGGATTCTCGTCGAACTATAAAATATACCCCAAAAATAACCCAAAAATAATCAGGGGACTATTTTTGGAGCATTAGGTGATCTTTTGGGGGCGTTTGTCGGGTATTTTGCAGTTTTCGTCGAAAATCCCCCTGTAGGGGGACACGCCCGACACAATGCTACTGGGGGTGGCCCACATGGGCAGAGCAGAGAAAAGGCCCCGAATGGGGCACTTCGAGCCGGCTCCTTTTAGGTCCTTTTTTTTGAAAGGGGCACCAGGACACACAACTAGATACACACGAATAAAAAGGATTCCCCATGCTTTTCCTATATTTTCGGGGTTCTCTCTTCCCCCCCCTTCCCATCTTTTCCCATATTTTCCTGGAGATCGACGATTCATTGTGTCTGTGTGTTTTTTCCCCTCCCAATTTTTCTTCATCCCCCCTCTGGGTCACCTCCATTACCACCCGCCTGAAGGCTGTTCCGAGTGGGCCTCCGGGACGGCAGCCCGGCCCAGGAGGCCCCCACAACGGGCCTAGGTGTCTCCAAGTCCAAGATGCCCCCAAAAACGGTCCAAGGGGGGACCCCGAGTCGCCCCGAGGTCGCCCCCTAAACGCCCAAGAGATGGCCTCAAGGCGGTGGAAGAGGCCCCTGGGAAGCTCCAAGGGAACTCCAAGAACACCCCCAAGAGGGCCCAAATATCCCCAAACCATTTATTTTTCGTAGATTTTTGTAGGATCAAGCCTTCTCGCCGTTTTCATCTCCCGACGCTCCAAGACGGTCCAGGAAGCTTCCAAACGCACCCAGCCCAAGAGGCCCCAAGAGGGCCCCAAGACTGCCCAAGAGGCCATCAGGGTGGGCCAAAAGGCACCCAAGAGGGCCCAAAGAAGAGCCCAAGAGCGGGAACACGAACAGGCATGTCGAGCCTTCCGCCTCCAGAGGGCCCTAAGAGGCCCCCAGAAGGCTCCCGCGGCCCCACCAAGACGCCCCAAGAGGTCCCCAAGAGGCCCCCAAGACGCCCCAAGAAACCCCGTCAGAAGCCCCAAGAGCCCTCCAAGAGTCCCCCGAGAGGCATGCGCAAAAGTTGTGCTCCCCCTCGAAGGCTGAGACCGTCCTGGACGCAACTGTCCAGCGCGAAACCGAAACAAGCATAGCACGTGAGTTAACTACCTCGGCGCGCTGGGAACATCGACCTCACATAGCTTGCAGCGCGCGTGCGGAAGGAGGGAGGAGAAGGAGGAGGAGGAGGAGGAGGAGGAGGAGGAGGAGGAGGAGGAGGAGGAGGAGGGGGAGGAAGGATAGATGTACAGTCAACGTCCATGGTCAGGGCACAGGGTAAATCTGCACGACCCTTGGAAGTCGTCCCACGTGCCATTGAATAGCTCCTCGGGCGTCAACATTGGCTCAGGATGGGCCGAAGAAGCAGGGATGCAAGCACAGCTTTTTGATGCAGCAGCGCACTCCTGCCATGGATTTTGACTGTAACTGCGCTCGCCCTTACACTGGCGCTCGAAGCTGCCCATCAGGGCCTCGCTGTCCCTCGCAGTGCTCAAGCAGCACCTGCGACCGACGCCGACACCACTGCGCGCACGCAGAGACGTCGGCGCAGTCCAACACATGATGGAGGGCAAGACCGCCGGTAAACCTGTGCATGCTCGAACCCCCCACCACCAAATATGCAACGTCCTGAATGTTTCAATGCGCGGCCCCTAGAAGTCCCGCCTCGGAGCGCTTGTGGGCGCTGAGGAGCGCGTGGGAATGCTGGACGCCTGGGAGCGCCTGGGAGCGCCTGGGAGCGCCTGGGAGAGCCTGGGAGCGCCTGGGAGCGCTTGGGAGCTTGGGAGCGTGCGGGGAGCGCCTGGGAGCGCCTGGGAGCGACCCTTTCCCTGGGACCCGTTTCTCCTCCCGAATCGTTGTTTCACTGTCCCGGGGCCCGGCGAGGGCTCCCGGAGGCCGCACATGGCCACACGCCTTCCCTCGTGATTTTTCGTTCACCCCGCGATCATGTCTGGGTCCCCAGCTTTACCAGCCTCGAACATATCCCTATCCCTGAGATTGACACGCCAGAAGGCGATGACAATCTCAGGGATGCGCCTTCAAAAACTGAGGGAATCCCTGAGATTGGCATCGTGATGAGGCGATGCCCAGCATACAGTCATCGGCCTGACCTGAGGAACGATACATAAGGAACGAAGCCCCTTGTTTCCAAGGAGTAACGCACAGGGAACGACCCATGAAGCATGCGAACCTGAGGAACGACCGAGCCCCTTTCGACTAGCAAGTGCTCCTTATTCAGGCCGCTCACTGTAGGGAGCGGGATCTGTTCCAGGCTGGTAACAGCTCGCGGTTCGCCTTCTGGCGGGCGCGTCGAAGCAGCGGCGAAGAACCCTCGGGGCGTGCGCGGTGCCGCGGGCCAGGTGCGTCCCCCCCCCCCCCCACACACACACACATCCTCTTCGGGACACGAGTCCGCTCCTCCCCAGGGCCCCTCGCCGGAGGTCTAGACTCCCGGTTGGAGGAGGGAGGAAGGAGCCTTTGCAGTGAAAACGTATAGTAGTAAGGACGCGTGGTGAGGACGCAAGACCCTTGGAGGCCGAAGCTGAAGTATTCTGGGCGGCAGGCGGCCAAACCCCCAGGGAAGCTGAGAAACTGGCCTGCGAAAATTGCTCGGGGCGGGCCGCAGAGGCTGAGGCAGGCAAGGACCCAAGGGTACCCTTGAAAAAATCGTTCGTCCTTACTATGCGCGTTGACTTTACTCAGGGGGGCAGGTTACACCCTTGCTTAGAGTGAAGGAGAGTTTGCACGTCAACAACATGAACTTCACTCGAGGCGTTTTCTTAAGCAGCAGCCCAAGTCCAGGCGTGTGAGAGCTCTGCAAAGAAAAAAAAAGTGAAAGAAAACGCCCAGGGCCAAGTCCAGAATCTTGATGCTCGCAAGCGGCATTTAGGGCCCATGCAACTTTTTCTAGAGACTTCTGAGCAGGGAAATCCTGAAGTCTTCGAGCGGTAACTTGATACACAAATGACGTCGGGCCCACATCCGGCTGTCAGATTCACGCCAGAACCTCACCGCGCGAACGTCGCTCCATATCTGACGGGGCGAACATGTGGGCTAGACGACACCACCATTGCGCGCCGCGCGAGGCCTCCAAATAAGAAAACGAACTCTATATACCGATGCTTTTCCGGCCCCGCACTGAAACTCGCACAAGAAAGCGGATCCTGGTGTATATACGGGATCCTGGTGTTTACACTTTTCGGTGTTTCCCTGGGACGACGGGGGAACAAGTATACACCACACCACCCCGGCGTCCTCCCCGACCCTCACAAAGTCCCGGGATTGATAACCAGCCAGCCACTGGGGGGTCCATCGTAGGGGGGGGGGGGGGGGGGGCGATGCCATCAGCACGGTGTGGAGAGGGGGGCGGCGGACCTGGATCATACATCGGGAGCGCGCCAGCGTGGATTCGCGATCCATGGATTTGGCGCCTCCCCGGCATGCGGCTGGTGCCGCCCCGCTCGGCGGAGGAAATCCGCGACCTCCCCTGGAACCGGGACCCGTAGCTAATCTTCAGTCGGGCCTGTCCCCGTAAAGGGGGATCTTCGACGAAAACCAAAACATACCCCAACAATAATCAAAACATGATCCAACAATAATCAGGGGATTTTTTTTGTTGTTTTTTGTGTTTGTTTTTTGTTGTTTTTTATTCATGCCTTTTTGGGGGTATTGTTGGGGTGCTTTTTATTTGTCGTCGACAATCCCCCTGTAGGGGGACACGCCCGACATGCGCCCATCCACGCCCCCCCCATATCCGCGCTGGCAGGGGGCGCCCCCCCCCCCCTTCGCGCGGCGGGGCACGGCCCACCGCCGCCCGCAGGCTCTCGGAACCCGCGCGGCGGCAGGGAGCCCCAGGCGGCGCCCGCGAGCGGGCCGGCCGCCGGCCTGGCCGTGATGCTCCCGACGTCGAGGCATGAAATGTTTGCTGGGGCGCCCTCCACCTCCCTCTTCCATACCTTCGGACCTCTGCGGAAGGCGCGGAAGGTGATGCATTGAACCTATTGAAAGCCTCGGGGAGCGCCAGACAGCTCGGCATCTGACGAAGCGCAAGAGTGTGGAAGGTCAGCACGGAAGGTCTGGAAGAACGAGGGCGAGGGTAGTCGGGAAAAGCCACAGGACATTCCAATGCGTGCTTGCCTTCTCCGTGGCGCCCCCCCCCCCCCGATCCCGCTCCACCTACTCCTCCTCCTCCTCTTCCTCCTCCTCCTCCTCCTCCTGCTCCTCCTCCTCCTCCTCTTCCTCCTCCTCCTCCTCCGCCAGCTCCTCCTCTTCCTCCTCCTTCTCGTCGTCGTCCTCCGCCGCCCAGGTTCCGCCGATGGGCTCAAGTTGGGCCTGCCCCCCTACGAGACGATTTCAGACGAAACAGGGAAGAGAGTCGAACAGATACCCCCCAAACGCTCAAGAACTGTAAAACATCGTCCCCACACTATTTTTGGGCAATTTTTGAACAACAATCCTCCTGTAGAGGGACAGGCCCGATTTCACGATGGGCCAGCGGGCACCCTGAGATCCGACGTCGGGAACAAGCCTGCATCGTAGAACAAGCTCGACCGGAGCTCTGGACCCACCCTTTCTGCGGCACCTCCCCGAGCCGAATCCGTCCGTGACAGGGCCCTCGTGCCCGAGACGAGGCGAGGCCGCCAGTTGTGAAACGAGCGCGACGCCGAGATCTCAGGGAACCACACGCCCTTGCCAGGATCAGGTCGGGCATGTCCCCCTACAGGCGGATTTGGAACGAAAAATGAAAAATACCCCAACAGTGCGCCCAAAAAGGATCAAACATAGTAAAACATCGTCCCCGGACAGTGTTCACTACTTTTGAACATGTCCCCTGCAGAGGGACAGGCCCGACTTTATGCCAGGGCCACCCTTGCCTCCCGGGCCCGCACCCTGTTTGTCACCAGCGCAGACGGGGCCCAGTGGCACCCACACGGCGACGAGCGACGGCCGACGGACGGGGCGACGGGCGGCGGCGCAGGGGAGGGGGGGGGGGCCAGGCAAGAGGGGAGTGGAGGGAGGGGGGGGGGGGGCAAGCTAGGTGCGCTCGCGTCATATCTGACGTCCTACCCCTCCCTCCCATCCCTTACCATGGCGCTGATTTTCTCTATCCGCGGACGCGTGTCGTAGCGGACCTGTGGCTCCGCGCGCGCGTGCGTAGTGGGTGGTGGTGCACGTGCGTGCGTGCGTGGGGGGGGGGGGCAGGGCGGGAGGGCGCGAAAAGGAGGGGAGGGGGAGGGAGCGGCAGGGCAGGGCGGGGGAGGGGCAGGCGGCGCGGGGGGGGAGGGGCAGGCGGGCGGCGCCCGCCACGGGGTGCCCCTGCCGCCGCTCCGCGCCCCCCTCCCGGGGGGGGCGCCGCGGCCAGACCGTCCAGGCGGCCCGCCGGCGGTGGCGGCGGAGGCCCCACCCCCCCTGCAGGTGGCCGAGCGGGGGGCAAAGGCGAGGGGAGGGAAGCGGCAGGGGCAGTTGGCGGTTCCTCCTTGGAGCTTTCGGATCTAAGGCTGGGTCGGGCATGTCCCCCTACAGGCGGACGTTGGGCGAAAATTTCAGAGTGCGGGAAATTGCACGGCTCGAATCAAAAATAGTGAAACAAAGTCGCCCCCAGAGTATCTCTTATTGTTATAGAATATTTCCCCTGTAGAGGAACACGCCCGACTGAAATCTAATGGCGCTCGCCAGCTGGCGGGCGCAGCGGCGTGGTCGATGCCACGTCTCGTCCCCAGACGGCACCTTCGGCTCTGCCGGCAGACCCAGGCGCCTGTCCCCGAGCGCCGCGGGGGATGGCGGCGGGTCCGCGCGTGTCGGCGCGAGTGGGTGCATTACGCATGAAGGAGGAGGAGAAGGAGGAGGAGGAGGAGGAGGAGGAGGAGGAGGAGGAGGAGAAGCAGGAGGAGGAGGAGCAGGAGCAGGAGGAGGAGGAGGAGGAGGAGGAGGAGGAGGAGGAGGAGGGCTCGCCCAGTCCTGCATATCAGGAGCCGTGCGGGAGCAGTCCAAAAAGGCCAGTCGAGGCTTCCCGACGGTCTCGCTGGTGCTCAGAAGGTTTCGAGCCTTATGTCGGGCGTGTCCCCCTACAGAGGGATTTTCGACGAAAATCAAAAAATCCCCGAAAATACCCCAAAAAGGTCGAACAATACCAAAAAATTGTCCCTGGACTATTTTTAGATGATTGTTTGACTATTGTTTGGGTATGTTTTACTTTTCGTGGAAAACTCCCCTGTAGGGGGACAGGCCCGACTTAATTCTAGCCTCGGGGTGCCTTCGGCGGCTGCGCCTCGCCGCAAGCGTTCGTGGGGTGCCCGAGGCGCACCGGCCGGCCCCCGGAGGGCAGAGTCATGACCCAGCCACCTGCGAAATCGGCGGGGTGGCGGCGGGTCCGCGCGTACTTGCTCCCGCACCTGATGTTTCTCCCGACCATGCGAATCCTGCTCTTTCCTCTCCGTCCCCGTCCCGAGCAGCCTCACTTTTCGGAGTCCCATGAAAGCTGTCGTGGTGCATCGGGCGGCTGCTCCACCAGGAGGCCCGCCGACTCTCCTCTTTCCAAAACCACCTCCTCCCTCCTCCTGCTTTCCCCCCTCTTCCCACCGCTCGCCTCCTCCTCCTCCTCTTCCCACTCCTTCGACGTTCTCCCCAGGGCCTCTGGTAGCGATCCATCCTCTTGCCAGTCTCGTCCAGGTTGGCGAAATACTCGTCGGGCGTCACCTGCCAGGCGTCGCAGGCTGGGGGGGTGGGGGGGGGGAAGAGGCAGAGGAGAGGGGAGAGGGAGGACGTCCAGGAAGTGGAGGAGGGGGGGTGGAGGAGGGAGGGTGGATAATAAAGAAGGAAGGCGGGGTGAGAAGGAGAAAAGAGGAGGGTGTGTGAGGGAGGAGGAGAAGAGGAGGGAGGAGGATCGAGGCCCCTCCTCTTCCTCCTCCTGCTCCTGTTCCCCCTCCTCTTTCGCCTCCTCATCCTCCTCCTCCTCCTCCTCCATTCCCTTTCCTTATGATTTACTTATCCCGGTTGCACCCCCAGGCCACTTTTTAGGACGGGCTGGGCGTTTCGCCCGAGACTTCCTCACCATGTATGGCTCTGAAGCTTAAAAGTTGACAACAGGTTCACAGATAGAGGGCAGGTCGTTTTCAAAATGTGGCTCTCGCCTAAGACGCCGCGTACACTCGTTCCAGACATGTGCTAAAGTGTCACGGGCTGAAGGCGAGCCGTTTTCAACATGTGGCTCTCGCCTTAGCGCCGCGTACATTCGTCCCAGAAATTTCACGAGTGTCACGGATTGAGGGCGAGTGGTTGCAAAAAGTGGCTCTCGCCTTAGCGCCGCACGCATTCGTTTTGAACATGGGCAATGGTTTCACGGACTGAGGGCGAGCGGTTTTCAACATGTGGTTCTCGCCTGAGCGCTGCGCACTTTCGTTTCAAACATTCGCACGGGTTTCACCGATTGAAGGCGGTTCCTTTTCAAAATGTGGCTCTCGCCTGAGCGCCGCGCACATTCGTTTCAAGTATTTGCCAGAATTTCACGAATTGAGGGCGGTTCCTTTTCAAAATGTGGCTCTCGCCTGAGCGTCGCGCACATTCATTTTTAAACTTTGCAAGAGTTTCACGGATCCCCATGACCAGCGTACCAGACATGTTTGTTTGAAGGGTTCAGGATTATGCGGGTGCAGCAGTTACGTGAATAGACGGTGTTGAAGTCCCAGGAATGGTGTTCTGGCACCATTCAGGACCGTCAAGGCGCAACAGTGAGATTGATCCGTGGAGATGGAATCCCGAAAACTATGTTTGTGAATGCTTCAGGTTCTTCAAACGGTTGTCTTCAAACGAGGCAGTTCCCTCAGTGGAAATGAACCGTTACAAAACCTATGATGAGGGAGCTTGGAGGGAGGATTTATCCCAATATCATTGGTGACTCTTGGGTTTACACTGGTCGTCCTCCTCCTCCTCCGCCGCCTCCTCCTCCTCCTCCTCCTCCTCCTCCTCCTCCTCCTCCTCCTCCTCCTCCTCCTCCTCCTCCTCCCCCCCCTCCCCCCCTCGTCCCCCTCCCTCTCCTCCTCCTCTTCCTCCTCCTCCTCTTATACTCCTCCTCCTCCACCTCCATCACATCATCCTCCCCTCCTCCTCCTATCCTCCTCCTATCCTCCTCCTATCCGCCTCCTCCTCCTCCTCCTCCTCCTCCTCCTCCTCCTCTTCCTCCTCCCCCCCCTCGTCCCCCTCTCCTCCTCCTCCTCCTCCTCCCTCCTCCTCCTCCTCTTTCTACTCCTCCTCCTCCACCTCCATCACATCCTCCTCCCCCTCCTCCTCCTATCCTCCACCTATCCTCCTCCTATCCTCCTTCTCCTCCTCCTCCTCCTCCTCCTCCTCCTCCTCCTCCTCCTCCTCCTCCTCCTCCTCCTCCTCCTCCCCCCTCGTCCCCCTCGTCCCCCTCCTCTCCTCCTCCTCTCCTCTCCTCCTCCTCCTCCTCCTTCCTCCTCCTCTACTACTCCTCCTCTTCCACCTCCATCACATCCTCCTCCCCGCTCCTCCTCCTATCCTCCTCCTATCCTCCTCCTCCTCCTCCTCCCTCCTCCTCCTCCTCCTCCTCCTCCTCCTCCTCCTCCTCCTCCTCCTCCCCTCCTCCTCCTCCTCTCCTTCCTCCTCTCCTCCTCCTCCTCCTCCTCCTCTCCTCCTCCTCCTCCTCCTCCTCCTCCCCCCCTCCTCCTCCTCCTCCTCCCCCTCCTCCTCTCCCCCCACTCCCTCTCCTCCCCAACTCCCCCTATGTCCTATCTCCCTCTCCGCCGCGCGCGCGGCGGCGCAGCGGCGGCGACGATAGCGGCCAGCGAGGCGCTCGCGGGGGGCCGACCTGCGAGGCGCCGCACAGGTTGCAGGTCCACCTGCGGCCCTTGTCCTGGGGCGACGAAATCTATACGTATCCGCTGCCCCCTGGCCAGGCCCGCCCTTGGCCCAGACCCCTCGAGTCGTGAAGGATTCGGGGCGGGAGGCTTTTCGTAATGTTCGGCTTCTGGGGGCCCTCGCCGGGCCTCGGGGCCGTCAGAAAACGACTCGGGATGAAAAACCGGTGCTTGGGAATGGTTGAAAGGGCTTGGTGTCCACGTCATGAGAAAATCATGGACACGGGGGTCACTTCAAACGGGGGTCAGCCAGAGCGCCAGCTTGCAGGATCCTGCAGGGCGAGGTGCGCATTGACTCGGGCTTGGGTGCAGGATCCCGCAGGATCCTGCAGGACCTTGCAAGATCCTGCAAGGCCTGCCCTCCGACCCCATCTACTCGGACCCCATCTGCGAATCTTCGAGGCCTGGCCTTCTGAGAAGGCCTCCTCCTTCTCACCTCCCTTGAGTCGGGCATGTCCCCCTACAGGCGGATTCTGGACGAGAAATAAGACATACCCCCCCAAAAGATCCACAGACTACTCAAACATGGCCAAACAAATAGTCCCCAGCCTATTGTCGGGCCGGGCGAAAGGGGGGGATAGCAAAGGGGGGGTTTGAGAATCAGCTCACGTAGCTGATTCTCCCGGCGCCTCCCGGCGCCGGAGGCGGCTATGTATCGAGAAACGGGCCCCTCGGTGGGGCCGAAACCAGCTACATGCAGCAGATTTCGTAACCCCCCCTTTCCCCCCCCCCCCTTTCGCCCGACCCGATATTGATGGACTGTTCTCGAATACTCCTCCTGCAGAGGGACAGGCCCCGCTTCGCACGTCCCCCCCCTCGCTCGCCGCCCAGTCCTCCCAGCGCACGAACGGGTTCACGTACGTCCTGCGGGGGCGGCCGTGCGGGAGGAGGAGGAGGAGGAGGAGGAGGAGGAGGAGGAGGAGGAGGAGGAGGAGGAGGAGGAGGAGGAGGAGGAGGAGGAGGAGGAGGAGGAGGAGCCGTGGCCGGGGCCGCGCCCGCGTTCGCGGGAGGGCTGCACGGCCGGGTCCGGGCGGCGCGCGGCCAGCGGCCTGGACGCCCGAGCGTGGAGGGGCCCTGGGACACACCAAGAACTGGGCACAGGTTCAAAGGACCCCCCCCCCCATGACCTTCGCCTTTTTCTCGATTGTCGTCTTCCCCCCCCCCACAATTCCTATATTACATATTACACAACACCTTCCGAGGGGGTAGACGACTGCTCGTGTCTGTGCGCGCGTGGAGAAATGTTACCAGCCTGGAACATAACCCTATCCCTATGCTGGGCACCTCCTCATCACGACGCCAATCTTAGGAATTCCCGTATTTTTTGATGGCGAATCCCTAAGATTGTCATCGCCTTTGGGCGTGCCAATCTTAGGGATAGGGCTACGGTCGAGGCTGGTAAACATGGGCACGGGAAAATGGGTCCAATGCCGAACAGCACATGTCGTCCCAAACTGACAGCGGCGCGCGGCCAGCGGCCTGGCCGCCCGAGAGTGGAGGGGCCCTGGGACACACCAAGAACTGGGCACAGGTTCAAAGGACCCCCCCCCCATGACCTTCGCCTTTTCTCGAGGTTCGCCGTTCCCCCCCCCCCCCACTTCCTATATTATACCACATTTTCCGAGGGGGTCGACGACTCCTCGTGTCTGTGCGCGCGTGGAGAAATGGGCACGGGAAAAATGGGGTCCACTGCCAAACAGCACATGCCGTCCCAAACTGACAGCGGCCGCTGCTGGGCAAGCGGCTGTCCGCCTTCCTTGGAATAACGTCTGCGGCGGCGCGAACAGCAGCTCCTGTTCAAAAGGAACCTGGACTGCCGTTGGGCGTCGTACGCGTTCTCTCCGTACCCATCTCGCTCGTCCCGAACCAGGCTGCGCGAGTGCGGAGCCCCCGCCCGCGCCTCCAGGTCGACGTCGATTTCATCGGCTTCTCAAAACCTCCTCGCGAGGGCACCGACGAACGACGCCAGGGCGAACTCCGGAAACCCAGAACCCAGAATTTCGTTCCGGATTTCGAGGTGAATTTAGTGCGGGTTTGTCTTGGCCAGGAAGTAAGACCAAAAATAATCCACGCGAAATGCACTTCTTTTTTGCGCTCGCCGCTTCGGGCAAATCCACATAGAAATCCGCCGCAGCTCGTCTGTCAGGCCGGTGCAGTGAGCCTTCGTGTTCCGATTCCTCCCCCTCCTCCTCCTCCTCCTCCTCCTCCTCCTCCTCCTCCTCCTCCTCCTCCTCCTCCCCCTCCTCCTCCTCCTGTTTCTCCCCCTCTTCCCCCTCCTCCTCTTCCCCCTCCTCCTCTTCCCCCTCCCACTCCTCCTCCTCCTTCTCCTCCTCCTCCTCCTCCTCGTCCTCGTCCTTGTAATCGTCGTCGTGTTCCTCCTCATTCTCCTCCTTTTCCTCCTCCTCCGCCTCCTCCGCGTCCTCCTGCTCCTCCTCCTCCTCCTCCTCCTCCTCTTCCTTCCTTCCTCCTTCCGTCCTTCCTTCCTTCCGTCCTCTTCTTCCTTCCTTCCTTCCTTCCTTCCTCCTCCTTCCTCCTCCTCCTCCTCCTCCTCCTCCTCCTCCTCCTCCTCCTCCTCCTCCTCCTCCTCCCTCCCTCCCTCCCTCCCTCCCTCCCTCCCTCCCTCCTCCCTCCCTCCCTCCCTCCCTCCTCCTCCCTCCTCCCCTCCTCTTCCATCTCCTCCTCCTCCTCCTCCTCCTCCTCCTCCTCCTCCTCCTCCTCTCCTCCCTCGTCCTCATCCTCATCGTCCTCCTCCTCTCCTCCTCCTCCTCTCCTCCTCCTCCTCCTCCTCCCTCCTCCACCACTTTTCCCCCTCTTCCCCCTCCTGTCCCTCCTCCTCTTCCCCCTCCTCCTCTCCTCCTCCTCCTCCTCCTCCTCCTCTCCTCCTCCTCCTCCTCTCCTCCTCCTCCTCATCCTCCTCCTCCTCCTCCTCCTCCTCCTCCTCCTCCTCCTCCTCCTCCTCCTCCCCTCCTCCTCCTCTCCTCCTCCTCCTCCTCCTCCTCCTCCTCCCTCCTCCTCCTCCTCCTCCTCCTCCTCTCCTCCTCCTCCTCCTCCTCCTCCTCCTCCTCCTCCTCCTCTCTCCTCCTCCTCCTCCTCCTCCTCCTCCTCTCCTCCTCCTCCCTCCTCCCTCCTCCCTCCTCCCTTCTCTCCCTCCTCCCTCCTCCCTCCTCCCCTCCTCCTCCTCCTCCTCCTCCTCCTCCTCCTCCTCCTCCTCCTCGCCCTCCTCCTCCTCCTCCTCCTCCGCCTCCTCCTCCTCCTCCTTCCCGTCCCCCTCCTCCTCCTCGTCCTCCTCGTCCTCCTCGTCCTCCTCGTCCTCCTCGTCCTCCTCGTCCTCCTCGTCCTCCTCCTCCTCCTCCTCCTCCGCCGGATGGACGATGGGGCAGAAACACATGTAAACTGCACAACGAAAAAGGGAACGAACCATCCCAGGGGGGTGGGAGGGATAGAACCTACGGCGGCGACGAGGCGGCGATGGCGACAACGCAGCCGCCAGACCGCCACACCGGCCCAGAAGATTGGCGGCGACGAGACCGACGGCGACAACGTAGCCGCCAGACCTCCACAACGGCCCAGACGACGCGCGACGAGGCGGCGACTGGGTGGCGACGGCACGCGACGGCGACACCATAGTCAGCCTTTGTCTCCTTTCTCCTCCCTCCTTCCTCCATCCGCTATCATCATGTTTCCTTCCTCCTCCCTCCTCCATCCTCCTCCCTCTTCCCTCCTCCCTCCTGGTGCCTCCTTCCATCCTGCATCCTCCGTCCTCCATCATCCGCCCTCCTGCCCCATTTCCCCTTTCGTCTTTTTGTTTTCCTCGTTCCTCCTTGCTCTTCCTCCTCCTCCTCCTCCTCCCCCTCCTCCTTCTCCTTCCTTCTTCCTCCTCCTCCGCAGTCCTGCCTTCTCCTCCTCTTTACTCCTCCTCCTCCTCCTCCTCCTCCTCCTCCTCCTCCTCCTCCTCTTCCTCCTCCCCTCCTCCTCCCTTCTCAAGCAACTTGGGCTCGAGCGGGTGAGGGGCCCCAGGAGGCCCACTTGCCCTCTTGAGTTCGTCCCTGGGCTTCCCAGCAGCGCTTGAGGGACTGTGTCTTTTCTGCGTGCCAGCCAAGAAGAGGCACCGACCAACACAGGGACAGACGCAATGGCGGGCGTCCACCAGCTGTGGACCAGATGCATGCAATGTCAGACGTGCGAGTGGAACGGAGTATTGGCCCGCCGCCACAACATCTGCAGCGGCTGCGGCAACGAGGTCAAGCCATTCGAGAGGAAGAGGAAACCGAGGCGAGTTCAGTTCGTGGACGAGTACGGCGACAGCGACGCCGACGGCTTCTACGACGCCACCAGCGGCAGCGAGAGCGAGCGCCCGCAACCACGGCGCCCAGGCATCTTGAAGGGCCCTGTGGGGAGCGGGCTCGGAGGCGGCAAGGGCGGCAAGGGGGGCAAGTCAGTGAAGAGCCTCCTGGAGCAGGCCCTGGCAGCCGCCACCGACTCCACACTCAAGGTGGACCTCCAGGCGCAGCTGGACAAGCTCGCCAAGGAGGAGAGCGGGCGGGAGGCAGCCAAGATCACGCCCGCGGAGGCCCTGCGCAGGGCCGATGGGGCGTGGAGGAACGCGGAGCACCTCCACAGTCAGGCGGTCAGCAATGTCATTCGCCTTCGCAGCAATCTGGCAGCTGCGGAGGCGAAAGAGAGGGCGGCAGCCGTCCACTTGGCCGAGACCACCGAGGCCAAGCGAGCAGCAGCTACGGCCTTGGCTAAGGCCGAAGGGGTCACCGAGGCCAAGCCTAGTCCCGACGGCGAGAAGAAGATCATCACGCTGGAGTGGGACGACAGCTTCTTCACGAACCTGGCGGCGCTGGGCGCCACGGACGCGGAGAAGAAGGCCCTAGAGGAGCTCCGAGGCCAGTTGCAGGGCGCCAAGGAGACCCTCACGGGCAAGGAGGCCGAGATCCAGAAGTGGTTGGAGGCCACGCAGCAGCATCGGCGCACCATCGAGGAGCGGGCG